GTATTTGGAAGAAAATTATCGTACACGAGTCAAACGTACAGAATACAGCTATTTATCTAGATTCTAGACCAACAACTTTTTGACACGACCTGCAAATTACCACAATAGATAAATAACTAGGCGTACGTAAGTGGAAAGGTCCAAACTCCACCTCTGAGTCGCAGTTATCAGAAGCTTGCGTGTTGCCAGATGTTGAGGGGGTCCGTTTGCGGTACAGATTTGATGCCGTCATGGACCGCAACAGTGCCGCATAGTGCTCGTTTAAAAGCAGGGCACGGTGGACGTAGAATGTACATAAATTGTTTACTTTGTATTACATTATGTATTTTAACGGTGTTATTCAATGAAACCACTTAACCAATCATTATTGCCTCATTGTTTTATATAATGCATTTAAGTCATTTTAAAGGCTGTGGTTGGCTTAGGTCTGATTTTATAACCACAAAAAATATTATCTTAATCGTTATTAACGTCAACATCCAAAAAAGTTTCAGAGGATTATGAATGTAGGCCTGAAAGTGATGCACGGGCTTCATCTTTTTTCTTTTTCTTTTCTCGGTGCCGAATTGCTGATGTCTTTTCACGGCATAGTTGTCCATCAATTATGATCATTTGCATTCAGCCACAAACATGAGGTGTGAGCCCGGGAGTTGGTGCCCTACGCAAACTGCGTACTCTGCATATAGGGAGCGGCGGTACTGGACCGCAACATAGTGCTCGTTTAAAAGCAGGGCACAGTAGACGTAGGATCCACAGCTAGATGAATTAGTATAGAAGAAGCCCTATGATTACAACGACCATTATTTGAAGTTTCACAAAATTCTGAAATTATCGTACATTATGGGATCTTTTTCATTATTGATCGTACAACGTACAGAGGTCTAAATTATCGTACAAATACGATAATTATCGTACGTCTGGCAACATTGTGCGTGATCACTGACACAACTCCAGTTAGCAAGTGCTTTCGGAGTGAGAGTGAATTCTGCATAGATTGGTCGGACTCATGACTCCCAACAAATCAGATGGGCAGTGGGCAGAGATTGCTTTATGCCACAGAGTGGTGAGTTCTGACAGGCTGCATCAGAGCCAATGACCGATACGATAATCATAAAAATGCTTAATATCGGCGCCGATAATCGGTCGACCCCTACAATATATAAAATATTTAATTTTTACTGTATTTTTAAAATTGTTCTATTCTAATTCATTGATGTCTGCATAATGTATAACACCCCCCCCTCCTCCCCTCCAAAAAAAAGTTTTGTTCCTGTATTAAAACCTATGCATTTAAAAAAAATAATAATAATTTATGTATCTCTTCCAAAAATGAAGGCTGACCTAAATGCATTTATGAAGCACCAAACAACTTGACGCTATAATAATGAAGAGGCTTTTGAGGGTAAAAATGCCGCCATTGTGCTTAAGAACCTCTAGGGAACTTTATAGTGGCTCACATCAATTTTTCAGGAGCAGTACTATCAGATCCATGCACACGTTTGGGTGTGTGTGTGTGTTAGAGTAGGTAACAGAACGCACTCTATCTGCCCTTCTGAACTGTACTTGACCCTAATAAGCAGCTCATGGTCTTTTGTAACTTTCTCTGGAGCGAATGCTTCATTGCCATAGCAATGCCTGGTGTCCCGTATCACAGTATCAACACCAACATTCATGCTATGCCACTCACTTCTCATTTAATAATCCAGCATGGGCTCAATGGGATCAGCACAGGGATCAGGCAGATCATACACATGCTGTCCTGGTGGGCTGTAACCTTAACAACACTTTGCAGGGAGAGTTAGACTCTCCCTCAGTGATTCGTGGCCCTAGGCAGAAAAGGGTTACCACATAAACAGAGTTCAGTGCTAAAACAAAGACGCCTCAGTCAGCAGCGGCAAAACAATCACACACAGGAATCGGGACGTCTATATCCCTAAAGATCTCTGTGG